CCACCCACCCTGGGTGCTGCGCCCAGCCCCTGTTTGGTGTGACCCTCTGAGACCGGGCAAGCTCATCACAGGCACGGCCGAGGATGTTGACCCAGAGGCAGCAGCACGTTGTGCCCCGTGGCAGGGCAGTTACGCCATCATCGAGCACCGGGGCTGCGGTGCACGGAGCTGCACAGACCCCCGTGCCGATGGCCCCGCGACCCCGCAGAGGGGCCTTTGCTGCTGCTAGTGTCCCTCTCCGCACCGAGCTATTGCATGGCCGGCGTACCCTGCTCCAGGACACCCTGCTGCCCCCAGCCCCCGCCATGCCCCTGCCCCATGCAAGCCCCCGTGCCGGGTTTTCGGGGGGAGGAGGTGACTGTCGGTGTGGCCCTAAGAGCCTTATGGGATTAAAGGGTCCGTTTCCCACCCTGGCCGGTTTCTCACCGAAGTCACATGCTGTGCTTCCCCCGGAATGGCCAGGGAGAGGGGAAAGGAAGAAAAATAAAGACCCAAAGGCAGCTCCCAGCTTGGAGGGTCTCCAACAGGAGCCCAGGTCCAGTCTGGTGCCCAAAGGCCAGCGGCGCCCACTGGGTGCAAGCCCTGGCCCTACCAAATGCTGCCAGGAGCCCTCCCGGTGCGTGGGGCAGAGCCCTGCTTTGCCCTGGGCATCGCCCCCAGCTCCCCACGGGACAGCGCTGCTTTCTGCTCAACCGGTTTTCCTGGGTTTAGGCCAAATTTTGGTGCTTGCCACACGGCCTGGTTCCCTGCTCGTGCAGGCGGTGGGTGCGCTGTGCATCCACCTTGGTTTCTGCACCCACGTCTCGGTGCGTGGCCGGGTCATCGGCGCAGTCTCGTACAGCACCAAGAGCGGGAGCGGGGACGTGTGGGCACTGGGCAGTACTGGAAAATTAACCAGCAGCAACTGGGAGTTGATGGGAGCTGGTGGGGTGTGCTGGGCCACACCACCTGCCTGCGAGAGCAGTGCTTTTGAGGTGCAGCCCTGCCCAGAACAGCCCCAGGAGCGTGCCACCTTTTCCGGCTCTGCAGCTGATCCAATAAAGGGCATTACCAGTCCCCTCCCTGACGGGCACGGGGACGTGCCCCAGCACGGTGCCCCAGCAGCACCCCCACCCTGGCAGCTCCCGGCTGAGCCCCCTCACCCCCCAGCGCCCGCCCACGGTTCAGCGTGGGCTCCGGAGCTTTGGGGTAAAGCTCCATCCTTCTTTGGTGCTGCCTGGCACCCTGCCGTGGCATGGCACGAGTGCGCCAGGCCTCAGGCAGGTGGCTGCGGTGGTGCTCGGGGGACCACCAAGCTGGGGGCGAGACAGGGCCGGGCCAGGGAGACTTTCCGCCCCCCACCGTGATCTTGCCACGGCGGGCGGGGGGCTCCGAGCCCTCTGCCCCCGCCCCACCGGGACACCCCTCGCCTCAGGGGGACTTTGCCCGTGGGAGGAGCGGGGAGGGCAGTA